GGCCCCTAAGTAATAGACTTTATTTTTATAGCAGTTTAAGGTTTACAGAGAAATTGAGCAGGAAGTGCAGATAGTCCCAATACACCTCTCCTCACCCCTACAGTTTCTCTTATTATTAGCATGTTGCATTAGCATGGTAGAAAATGTTCTTAATTTTGATTATGGTGATGGCCTCATAGCCTTATGAATATACTAAAAACCATTGAATTGCATACTTTGTTAACAAATTGTAGGGTGTATGAATTATATCTCAAGAAAGCTGTTGTTAAAATCAGGTTTTTGATCAACCAAGCTAGAAAACCAAAATATCTCTGCATTCTCCCTGAATAAAACGGTATATGTGCATACCAGCCCGCTGCCAAAAATAAAAATAAAAATAAAAAAGTAAAAATAAAATAAAATGGTATATATAATTATAAATTTATGTTGTATAAGACTGTTGTTATATCGAGATTATCCAAGATTATCCAAGCATATCCAACAAAAAAATAAAAAGGAAAAGTAATATTATATAAATATTCCAGGCAGTTAATTAAGAAAGATATTATTCCCCCCTCCCCTAGAGAAACAAAGAAGAGGTAGGGGCAGGGACCTCAGAATTTAAATAATAAATGCCCTTATTTTATGAACTAGTTTAATCACAGTTTCTGCTATGGGTAATCCAGAGTATCCCAACTGAATCGTTAAGGTGGAGGCAAGAACAGGGAGGAGGTACAAGTGATGGTCCAGGATGATGCCTGAGCTGGGGCTGGGGCCCAGTGGGAACAAAGAGAGTCACACACAAAGGGAAGCTGAAGACTCAACCCTCTCCCCCCTATCTCTCAAGGTGACAAAGATGGTTATGAGTTTCCCTGGACGTGGGACACACCTTCAGGAAGGGGCCTGGTCAAGGGAACCCCAATCGCAGGCAAACCTGGACCCACTCTTACCACTAGCACCTCCAAGAGCCCAGGTCATCCCTCTCCAGCTCTAAGAACCCATGAGGACACAGGTGAGACATGTGGCTGGGGTGGAGGACTGGGGAGTATGTGTTGTGGGGTAGAGAGATGGACTTCAAACTCCCTAGTGGTAACCCAACTGTTACCCCAGGAAGACCCAACAGAAATACATCCCCAAACAAGGGCTTATTATGTAAACCTGTGGTCCTCAACTAAGGGTGACTTTGCCCCCCAGGGGCATTTGGCAATGTCTGAAGACATTCTGGATTGTCATGACTGGAAGCAGAGAGGCAACCCATTGGCACCTAATGGGTAGAGGCCAAGGATGTGTTAAACATCCTGCAGTG